CGGGTGGGCGGGGCGAGCGTCAGCCCCGCCTCTCGGCGCCCCGCAGGCTGTTCCACGCGCAGAGACTGAGCAACACCAACCTGCTCTTCGTGGTGGCCGAGAAGCCGCTGTGCAGCCAGTGCGAGGCCGGCCGGCTGCTGCAGAAGGAGACGCACTGTATCCTGCCCCCGCCCCCGCCCGCCCCGCGCGCGCCCCGTGCCGCCGCCTCCTTGACTCCCCACTCATGCCCAGCGGACGGCCCGGAGCAGTGCGAGCTGGTGCAGAGACCGCGCTACCGGAGAGGCCCGCACATCTGCTTCGACTACAACGCGACGGTGAGCGGGACGGGCCGCGCCCTGCAGCTCCGCCGCCCTCCGCCCGCCTGCGCCGCCACTCGCTCCTTTCCTCTCCCCCAGGAAGATACCTCAGACTGTGGCCGCGGAGCCTCCTTCCCTCCGTCGCTGGGCGTCCTGGTCTCCCTGCAGCTGCTGCTCCTCCTGGGCCTGCCGCCTCGGCCGCAGCCTCAAGTCCGCGCCCGCGCCCGCGCCGCCTCCCCCCGCCTCTGAGCGCCCCGCCCCTGCCCCGCCCCGACCCGACCCGACCCCCGCCTGGGAACCCAACCCGCCCCCAGTGAAGGTCCTGAGCTGGCGGGCAGCGTCCCGGAGGGAGGAGGACGCCAGCCTTTGGCTCCTAGGACCTGTCTCCCTGCGGAACTAGCCAAGTGTCCCCAGATCCTGGACTCCAGCGGCTCGGACGGGGAGGCTACATGTACCGGTGCCAAACCAGGCCTCCCCGCCCCACCCGGAGGCTCCCCTTGCCTAGGCATCACCCTCAGCTGGGCTCCTCCAGTCTGCCCCTCTGCCCGCCCCCCCAGGCCCAGACCTGTTTTCCCTGGGAATAATGGAGGAAGGTGAGATGGCAGCTTAAGGCCCGTGCATCCAAGCTGAAGTCCTCGTGGGGGAGAGGTTCCGGGGCAGCCCCCCATGCACGCCTGCCCCTTCCAGGCCTAGAGCCTTCGCCCCCAGCCTGCAAGTGTCGGGACAGTCTCACGGTGACATCAGTTTAGACACAACTCACACGCATCTGGAACCCAGAGAGCAGAAGCTAGCCGTAGCCTGGAGGGCAGACAGAGACACAGAGACGGAGACACACGCCGTGGGGGGAGAGCTCAAAAAAGCCTTACAGAGGTTGAGGCGTTGGTGGGAGGGTTGGCGCCTGCGCACTCCGTCTCCTACTCACCACCTGCCTCGCATCCGAGCTGCAGCCAGCCAGTCCTCCCATCGCAAAAGCTGAATGTCAAACAGTGCCAAATGCTAGGGCAGGGGGAAGACTCCTCTGTCCCACCCCAAGCCACCAGTGTCCTCCAAGTGCCCCTCACCTTGCCAGGTGCTCATTGTAACCATTTCTCACTAGTGTCAGGCCCCCAGAGGGAGCACATGCCACTGCCTGCACCCCTTGGCAGAGAAACGCCCACAGGCATTGCCCTTCTCCTTGCCAGGGGTGACTCGATCTCTCCTGGCTGGGCTGTCCTGCCCCAGTCTGGCCCCTACGTACTCTGGCCTGTGCCTGTTCTCTGTATCCTTTCTCTCTCCCTCTCTCCCTCTCTCCCTCTCTCTCTCTCTCTCTCTCTCTCACACACACACACACACACACACACACACACACACTCTCACACCCTGTCCCCAGGACGCCAAACTGCCCCTCCCCTGCTGAACACACACTGGCACACACACAAAATGTACACACAAAAGCTGGGCCTGGCCACATCTCTTCACACCATTCATTCCGGTCATTTCCCCAAAGGTGTCCCAGCGTGGGGGCCAGTCGGGGATTGAGGGCAGGGGGATGTAGCCATGGGGCTCAGATGGACTGGGAGGAGGGGGGAGGGTGATGCATTAATTAATGGCTCCATTAATTAATGACATGTTGCTTGTCGCTTTCTCAGTGTGTATGTATGGTCCATGCCCGCTGCTGGTGCCAGGGTGGGTATCCATGATGTGCGCCCAGCCTGGCTGTCAGTTGTGTTCTGTGGGGGCGTGTGTGTAACTGTAGTGTAGTCAGGTGCTCCATGGAGATATAAAAATAAACAAACAAAAATAAATATATATTTTAAGTTTAAAAAAAGCAGACAAAACAATTCCCATCAGGTAGTTGTCCAACCCCCAGCTGGGTCTGATCCTTCTCATCACCCACCTGACCTGGCTGCCCGCTCACTTGGGCTGGGGGGCTGGGGGGGCCATTCCTTTTCTCTGCCCTTTTTTTTTGTTGTTGTTCTATTTTGTACAGACGAGTCGGGAAAACAACAGCAACAAAAAAGTCAAGAAACTTTGTAAAATATCGTGTGTGTGATTCCTTGTAAAATATTTTCAAATGGTTTATTACAGAAGATCAGTTATTAAATAATGTTCATATTTTCACTTCAAACAGTTTCTATCCACTGTGTGAGACTTAGGCGAAGGACTATGTAGCTACAGAAACAATGGCCAGGACCTTAGAGCCTTGCTCTGCTGTTAGGAGCAGTCCAGGTCTCAGGAGTGCAGAGCGTGATGCTCCATAGCCCCTCTTACAAGCCAGACTTCGACCTACTTTGTCTCATCTCATTTCACAAACAGGAAAAAGCTTCCCCCCACACACACACACACAAAAGCCTCCTGAAGCCTCAGGGCAAAGCCCAGACCCTGGAGGAAATAAGACAATCATGACAGGCAGTTTCAGGCTGGGCTCCCACCTTCTGATCAGACTTCAGCGGCCGCACAAGAAACTAGTGCCTGCTGGTGCTCAAGGGCCTGACCTGCCATCCCTAGAAGGCAAGAGTTGGGCCTACTCACAAGCAAGGGGGGCCTCTACCCTAGCCAAGCAGAGGCCAGTTTTTACAAATCGTCTGGCAAGTCGGGTCCTTCACCTTGTTCATTTTTTCTTCAACCCTAGTTCGTGGGACCTCTGCTCTTTTCATTGGAAAGGAATTGTAATCACTATTGCAGAGGTTCTTGGTGGGCACTATCAATGCTGTTTTTCCAACACACAGAGGGCCAGGGACTCTACTCAGTCAGCACTCACCGATGGCCACCCAGCTGATGAGGCCTCAACATCATCAGGGGTTGGTGCATGTGTATCTCCATGACCACATGAAGAGCGAGCCCAGGTGACGAGGGTAAATAATCACCAAAGGTCTCATGAGATGGCCAGCTGGACAGGGCCTCAGGTGCTAAACAGATGAAAGAGGACATTCCAGGACCAGGAATGGAGGGCTCTCCTGTGATCCCAGCACTGAGGGAGGCTGAGACAAGAGGATCAAAAGTTCAAGTCCCACCTGGGCAACACAGCAAGAACTTTTGCCTCAAGGGCCAGGGAGATAGCCCAGGCACAGCACCTGCCTGGCAAGTACAAGGTCCTGACTTCGATTCCTGGTACCAAAAAAAACCTCTAAAAATATAGAAGCCAGGCATGGTGGCACATGCCTATAATCCCAGCACTCCACAGGCTGAGGAGGATTACCTCGAGTTCAAGGCCAGCCTTAGCTACATAGTGAGTTCAAGGCCAGCTTGACTTACAGAGACCCTGTCTCCAAAAATCAAAAACAAAATAATAAAATATAGAAAGGGCTGATGATGTTGCTCTGTGGCAGAGCACACCTGCGTTTGGTCCCCAGTATCCAAAAACAAAATAAAAAACAAAAACGTATTCCAGGACCCAGCCAAGGTAGGGCTTTCCTCACTCCTCCATAGCAATTCCAAAGGGGTTGACTGCAGAATGACACCCAACCCTTGATCACAGAGCAAGGCCTAATCTCAATCCTTATAAAATACCACTTTGAGTTTCAGATAAACAACACCGTGGTTTTTTACGGGGGAAGTGTGTTTCTATTATATGGGGCATGCTTATACCAAAAAAAGTGGGGCATGCTTATACTAAAAAACTATTCATTACCAGGCATGGTAGCACATGCCTATATAATCCCAGCTATTTGGGAGGCTGATGCAGGAGAATCATAACTTTGAGGCGAGCCTGGGCAATTACTGAGACCCTGTCTCAAAGTAAAATTTAAAAACTTGTAGTGCTGGTGATGTGGCTCAGTAGTAGAGTTCTTACCTGGATGTGTGAGGCCTTGGGTTCTTACCCCAGTACCCCAGTACCCCAGCCCCATTTTTTTTGTTTTTTTAAGTTAAGCCTCCCAAACCCCATCCTCATCCTTCGGCTTTCAGTACCTGTTCACGCTCCCTGGGATCCCAAGAACTAAAGGCAATGGCCCTGAGAACTACAACTCCCTCCTCCATCAGGACAGGAGCCGTGTGAGCGCGCAGCCTCCTGGGACTTGTAGTTCTACCCAGAACCCTGTTCGGCTGGCGCCCGACAGCGGCCCGAGCACTCCGTATCCCGGCATGCCGAGGAGCCGGAAGATACGCACACAGAAGCCATCCGCTCCCCGACCGCTGCCACCGGGGGGCGCATGCGCAACACCCCTGTTTGTCGGCCCCTGAGAAGCGAAGGGAGGTGCAGTGGAAGCCGAGGCCGAGGCCGAGGCCGAGCAGGGGCTGACCCGGCTTGACTCGGACCTGAACACGGCACCAGTCCCGTGCGGACCGAAGGCCCTGGCGTGGATGGACGAACCCGGCCCTGAAGTCACGCTCGCCTGACCGTCCTGGCGCGGGGCCTCCGGGCCGAGCCGCAGGCGCCCCGGACCTGCTCTCAGGGGCCGGGCGACGGCCCCAGGCCCCGGCGCGGAAAGCAGGCCCAGCTCGG